TACTAAATAGAATAAAGGAGAATACCATATGATTGTTTCAACAGATGACAAAAGGCATTTGATGAAATTCAATACTCATTTGTGAGAAAAAAATTCTGAGTAAATTAAAAGTAGAAGGGAGCTTCCTCAATCTAATGAACATTTTTGAAAAAAAAAAAAACCCTAAAGCTAACATCCCACTTCATAGAGAAATATTAAGTACTATCTCTTTATGATTGGGAACTAGACAAATACATTCACCCACCATTTCTCCTTGGCATTGCCCTGGAGGCCCCAAGTGCAACAAGGTAAGAAAAAGAAAAAGCATGAAAATTGTACAGGAATAAGTGAAACTCTCTTTATTCACAGATGACATGTTTGTACACATGAATCATGCCAAGGAATGTATAAAGAAGCTAATAGAGCTAATAAGTGAGTTTAGCAAGTTTATATTACTCAAAATCAATATAAAAAGTCAATTGCATTTTAGTATTCTGACAACAAACAATTGGAAATAGAAATTTTAAAACATCATTTATAATAACATCAAAATCATGAAGTACAGTACTCAGGGGATAAATTTAACAAAATTTGTGCAAGAATTATTCACTGAAGAGCATAAATTAAAATTTGGAATTAAAGAAGAACCAAGTAAATGGAAAGATATAGTGAATTTATGGCTTAAATGAGTAAGTATTGTTTAGATGTTATTCCTCCTGAGATCAGTCTATAGATTCAGGCCAATCTACAGGTTTAGAGTGCAAGACTGTTTTATATCAGTAACATATGCTAGTATATAAATTGACTTTATTATTTTTAATGGCTACATATATTCCCTAATAGGATTGAGATATAGCTTATCTAATTAGTCTATAAAAAGCAGTCTGATTAAGTAGTGTAGAGTAAGTACTTTCTGTTAGCAAATGTATCTGATGATATATATGTGTGTGTAGGGGTGTGTGGTATATGAGTGCCTTACTCTAACTTAGATCATGGGATCTAAATAGTATTACTGGACTATAGAGCATTCTTATGCATGATAACCCAGGTTATTGTGCTAAATTAGCCACGTACTGGTCTTTTGACAGAACCATGCCACCTTTAGGCTTTCCCTATGGTAGAGATACCTGGGTCAATCATACATATAGGTTCCATTCCTCAGTTTTTCAGGTGGGGTCAAAACTCTTCTTTAAGTTAGGACTGCTTCCTTATTCCATGTTTGCTGGGACTGCTTCCTTACTCCATATTTGGCTGGCCAACCTGGCTCCCCAGTACATGGGCTTAGACTAACTCCCTGATCATGGCTATATAGCATCACTGGCTTTATTGCATCACTGGCTTCATGGTGTCACTTTTTTTTTTTTTTGCAGCTTTTGGCCAGGGCTGGGTTTGAACCCACCACCTCCAGCATCTGGGGCCAGTGCCCTACTCCTTTGAGCCACAGGTGCTGCCAGGTGTCACTTTTTTTTATCTTATGAGGGATATGCTTGAAGTCCCACCCATAATCACTTCTAATATTTGTGCTGGGCTTTGTCTTCCCAACTCTCTTCCCTGCATTGACAATCTGGTGTTTTCTCATGGATACACCTATTTCATATAGCTGAGATATCTGGGTACTTCTTGCAAAGGTAAGAAGTTGCTTCTGAGGTTCAATTGTGTTTCCAGGGAAAGGCTAGATTACCCTTCCAAGTCTTCCATCTTAAATCAAAATCTCTCAATGTGAATGTTGAGACACCTATTCAAATACTCATTTATTCAATTATTCACTGAACAAATGACCACCAAGTAGGTGGGTACTTAACACTTTGCTAAGCACTGAGGAGGAATGCAGACAGCCATAACACAGATGACCAAATGAATGATACAGACTATAAATGTTATAGGAGTATACATGAACCTCTTAACAAGTGGGCCTTTCTCAAGTCTCTCTCCCCTTTGCAATTTATCTTCCATGCTTTACCAAGTGAGTTTCCTAAAAACCAAAACTTATCTGTTTTTATAGAAAAAATGTATAAGCTTTTCAGTGTAGCACTGGGCTTCTCATAATCTGGCCCCAATTTCCATTCAAGCCTTCCTACTTTCTCTCATATACCCTGGCTTCTACGCATAGCAAACTTTTCACTGGTCCACTAGGACCCTTTACAATCTCTGTTCCTTCTTCCTAGATTGCCTTTCCCTCCTTCTTCACCTAGCAAACTCACAATCAACTCTAAAATTCTGTTCAAAGTCTTGCTGAAATATTTCTCCTATGCTTCTCATCTGTCCTGGATTTGAGCACATTATTCTATCATCTTTAGTAGATGGTGAGATTTTTTTTTTCAGATGGAGTTTCACTATGTTGCCCAGGCTGAACTTGAACTCCTGGGCTCAAGTGATCCTCTCACCTCAGCCTCCCAAGTAGCTGGGACTATACATGCCACTGTGCCTGACTAGATGGTGAGATTTTTGAGGGCATTGAGTTAATCTTGTTAGTCTTTCTATCTCTGAATTCAGAGATAGGGCCTAGCAAGTAGTAGGAATCCAATGAATATTTGTTAAGTGAATGAAGTAATAAGTAAAGATAAGAGTTCAAAGGGGCTTGGCACTTTTAGGTGAGGGTTTTTGAAAGGCATAGGCCTTGAAGCTGGACCTAGGTAAACAGTAGAGAACTGGGGAAAGGGAGGAGGAGGATTATTATCCTAGGAGATGGAAAAACAAAAGCCCACAACTGAGAGCAAAGAGAGTGAGGTCAGCCAGGCTGCAGCTGATTGCTGTCATATACCTTCTCACCTACCAGATTTCTCAATTATATTCTCAGCTCCTGGAGGACAGGGTATTTTGTAAATTCCTTTTGATCTCCTTTATATTTGATGCACAACTCCACTAGTCACTGTTCCTACTATCTCAGGGTTCTTTTTCTTCTCGGTATGTGCAATGTAATTATCTGTGCATTTGTATATCACTCTAGCACTTGCACCATCACCCGCCCCCAGCTGTTTGAGGTAGAGGAATGAGGTTTTATTACCTTTGCATCTTCCAAGATATCTTGCATAGTGCCTGGCACACAATGGGTGCTCAGTAAATATTTTTGATCTACTATTTGTTGATTTGATTTCAGAGGACCACAAGGATATTTGTGTGCAACTATGTATTGTGACATAAAACTTATATATGCCTTCATACTGTGTAGTCTATTTTTAGCAATTTTTATTAAAATGTTATCTTAGTGTACCTGAAAGACTGTCATTTCAATTTTCTTCTCTGTTCCTTCTCGGATGACTCACATCTCTTAAACCAGAAGGATGTGACAGAACAGATTCACAAAGGGTTTAGACAAATTTATGAATGGCATAGTCATAAACGTCTGTGTATAAGATGTTAGGAGCATGCAAAGGGGAAAGAGACTGGGTGAAGGGCACACTTACGTGTATAACTTTAAATCAATATGTACAAAACCAAAGTACATCAACAAAAAATATGTACCCCTTAATATTCTAAAATTTTAAAAAAGAGGAACCATTTCAAAAATGCCTATTAGGTGCCAAGAACCATGTGTTAGGTACTTGACAGACATTAGATCTCATTTAATCTTACAGAGTATTTCAATATAAAGACAGAACATCTCTCTGTCTATCAGGCTGAGCCCATATCCATTCAGGCACATAGCTTCTCCAGGTACCAAAGGAATATTTATCTTTATTAAAATTTTATCAATCCTTCACACCGATGAATCTTTGGATTTGCTTTTGCTTCTTAGGAACAGAGCATTCATTCTCAATTCATGCTTCTACAGCTTAAAACTCCTTTCTGACATAACTTGATCAGATTTTAAAGTTCCAGAGCTTTAAATTACAATGCAACCTGAGATATTCCCATAGCAATAACAGTGATTACATTTATTCATAGCACTTACCTTTATATTTCATCAAGCTCCCAAAATACTGAATAAAGGTAAGCCAAGTTGAGAAAAGAGAGTTCTATTAACCCTGACACCAGGAAATTGTCTCAAATGATAACATATCTTCTATTTGTATCTAGACATATTTGAATGGTTTTTCTGAGATACATATTATACCTCACCTGAGGTTAGAAGAAAATTGGTAGAAAATGAGCTTAAGTTGTTCTAATTTTAAAAAAATAATAGCAACTTTAAAAAGCATAATACTTCCAAGTATACAGCTTCTGCATCTGGCACAAACCATAACATTGTAAGTAAAGCAGCATCCCTAATCTTTGAGAAATAACTTGAGAAGGTGGGTTGCATGTGCTGGTTTATTATTTTAAGTCACCCAGTCTAAGGTCTGTATCTATACATCCTAATCTGTGATAACAAACTTCCTGCTGGGGTGGGGGACAGTGGGTAAGAATTAGGGATTATCTCACTTATAGGTCCCAGACAGCTTTCCTTTAGCTTGTTTTAGGAAAACTGGAACAGACATCTTTGATTTAGAAAATGTAAAGCTCCTCACTTATGATTAAAGAAAATGGCAAGTGCTCAAATGACGTTTCACATTTTAGATGGTCCTTTCCAACCTCTGTGTACTATGAATTACTGGAAAAACACCAGGGCAGACCTGTCTTTGTAGTGATTATGTGTTTCTTAAATTTTATATTAGTCAAAAGAAAACTGATAGGCCAGGACTACCATCAAAGAACATGCGCTACATACCACCTATGGGACTTCTAAAAAATAGATGAGAATCCAGCTTACACATTTTAAAAATAGCCCCTTCATTTTTGAGGGGATGAAAATATGCACATATTCCAAAGAGCTCTTTGTGTGAACAGGTGACCCCTTCCCACAGTCTCTGTAATTAATTGAGAAATTAAAGTTGGTTGGCCTTTGAGATATCTTGTAAAAAAGGCAGAAGGTCTTGGATATTTTGGAACAAGAGTCTACTATTCTGCCAAGACAGTGTGTTATTGTTATTGAAGCGTCTCTCAACAAAACGGTATTGAGTGGTGAGGACGTGATTTTGATTAGGTGGAATGACTCAGCTCTTCCCCTTGAAGAAGAGAGGACTTGTCAGAGCCTTACTTACCTCATGATCTGGGATCTCAGAGGATAGTGTTTTCTCTAGGATGACCCCGGTCAAGTATGTCCAGCATCGAGCTGTGTTGGCAAGGTTATAGCCTCCTGTCTCCATCAAGAATTGTGAAGTTAGGAAAGAACAGTCACAAAACAGTAGGAGAGGGAAGGGGATAAGGAAGGAGAGAAAAATGTTTTAATAAAAGGGCTAAAAACACAACTCTAATTTGCAAAATTTCACTTAAATATTTCTTTGTGATTTTTTTTTTTTTTTGGTAGAGAGAGGATCTCACTATGTTACCCAAGTTGGTCTCAAACTCCTGGCCTCAAGCAATCCTGCCTTGGCCTTCCCAAATGCTGGAATTACAGGTATGTGCCACTGCATGTAGCCCCTTTATGATATTTTTAAAAATTACCTAATGAATAGTCTTTGGTGGAACAATCAAATCATGCACAGTGTAGAATAGGAAGCCCAAGTTCTACAACATATATGCACCTGAGGAATCAAATCTCCTCAATTCCATCAAGAGATATCAGCAAGCCTGAGATCTCTGGAACCCAGATCTCTTGAGGTGACCTACTCATGGGAAAGAGTTCTGTGATAAATTTTGCAACAATTCTATAAAATGACTCCTGGATGCGATTTGCATTTTAAAACTAGTAGAAGATCTAGCCGTAAAAGCATCCATGAAAGAGAAATGGAAAATGCTGACAGAAACAGACTTCTTTCTTTTAATATTAGCATTCATTTTTGCAACAAAACATAGGCCTGGTGGCAAAGATCAAGGAAAGTGAGATGAGAAAGGGACCACTGATTGACACTCTGACCTATCTGGTCAGGTACTGTCATGGTCACCCCGCAGTCATATTACACTGGCTAATAATCAGCACATTTTTGTGCTGAATAAATGTGCTTTGCCATGCAAGCACTAAAACATTGGCCTTTAGCTAAATTACAGGAGTGTAAGGGTAAGATGGAATGATTTCCTAACTTCAGTGCAGCCTAAGAGAAATAAAATCTGGTCTATTTTAGGTAGGGTGACCATATAAATTATTATCCCAAATGGTATACTTTTAAAAGTAAAAGAGGACCCTATTAATCATTACACTGTGACAACATGTATAAACTGGGACATATGATCACTCTTTTCTTAAACTTTTCTAGTACTTAAAAGGTCAGCGATGTTGGAACTTTTAGAGTGTGTCTTTAAGGCCTCAATGGGATCTGCTGTGCGGCCGTCTCTCCTAATTATCTATGTGTTAACTGCAGCTGAGAATTTCAGTTAAATTGCATAGTATTAATTTAAATACTCCTGACATGGAAAAACTTGACTTTACAAGATAGACTTATTAATATTTGGCATATTATTTAATTTGAAAAAAAGTCATTTGGGGTAGCACCTGTGGCTCAAAGGAGTAGGGTGCCGGCCCCATATATCAGGGGTGGCGGGTTCAAGCACGACCCTGGCCAAAAACTGCAAAAAAAAAAAAAAAAAAGTCATTTGCTTAAGTAGTGAGCTGTCACTGGTACACATATAATATGACTTGATTAGCAAAAATTTGATTAATGTACAAGCATTTTCAGGAATACACATATTATATAAGAAGAGTAATATGTAGTATATTCAAAAGCCAAAACTTCGGGCTGAGAAAGCAAAAAAGCTTTAGAAAATGCTAACAGCCTGTAGCCTCAAACAAAAGATGTATATTGTAGAAAGGTCTTTTCTTTCCCTCTAGTTTTACCTGTATCATAATCATCATCCTTAGTACCATCACGGAAAGTAATATGTTATTCAGTGCTTATCAATTTTATCTTTCTCTTGAGTTAATATATTTCTCAGCAGCTTTTCATAAGAGGTTGTCTCTTATAAGGACCTGTAACATTGATCCCTCTAGGGTTTGAGGCTGCCAAAGGACCAGCCTTGTGCATTTGTGTTGAATACTCACTTATTTACGTAAGGGCTCCCTACAATTTCCCCTAATTTGATTTTACAACAGCTTGACAAAACAACCATTAACTTTTCCATAACATATGCATTTTAAGCCCCATTTACTTGACACTGTTATTTTAATATACCATCCGTTCATCCAATGAAATAAAGATTGTGCCTCGTAGGTAGACAGAAGAGTCTAAGCAAGGCATCTTCAAAGATCATTGTGAAAAGTTCTTTTCTCAAATATATAAATGCTTTCATTAACAGGCTCAGCTTTCTGTTGGTCAAGTAATACAATTAACAGTACACACTAAAGGTAAGAATGTACAAGAAACTCTTTGGGTCTCTGAATTTTGCTACATTATTATAAATCCATTATTTTTGGGGGAGAGTCATTCTTGAACTCAGTTTAGGTATTTAATTAATTCATGTGTTTGCTACTTATATGTGAGTTGAGTCAGAATTTTAATATTGTGTTTCTAAAAAATGATTATTAGAACTGAGAATCAGACTACACTGAGAGAAGATGGATCAAAGTCTACTGGGGTTAATAACATCTTAAGATCTGAGGAACCTTGAAACCTAGACGTCAGAAAGAGGAGTCAAGTGTGTCAGAGTACTTCCTTATGTTGAACCATAGAGGTGGCAGATTTCATTGACTCAGGCTTCTGGGCCACAGGTAAATTGGTATTCTCCAATCTAAGAAAGCCAAGCTTTCTAAGTTCAGTGCTAATGGATAAAATTATCAGGGAAGGGAAGGGAACAGAAGGGAAGGAAAAATGTGCAGGAAGTTCAATAAATTATCCTGGTAACCTTCCTTTGTACTCACCTCCTCCCAAAACGAGTGTTGCCAATTGCCACTGAAGGATGTACTTAAGACACTTGCCAATTCCCACAGGAGTCATGTTAAAGGAGCACATGGGATCTCCAGCTATCGTATCAGCTCCCAGCTGCAAGACCACTGCTTTGGGATTAAAGGCTTGGTATACCTCCTTTAGTACACTGTAAAAAAGAGAAAAGATACAAAATATTAGAAAAAGATAGGTGAATTTGGTTTAGGTGGTGGTGGGGTGAGTTGGAGGTACAGTTGAATCAGCAAATAGTAAAGAAAAAAATCACAACCTGTCAAACTCATCAAATTTTCTACCTAAAAAAGGTGAATCATACTATATATAAATGATACTTCGATAAACATGACTTACAAAAAATTTCCCCCTACCTCCATCCTCTCTAATGAACAAATTTGCCCTTCTGTTTTAAAACTCAGACTAAGAGTCTGCTGCAGTGGCTCATGCCTGTAGTTCTAGCACTCTGAGAGGCTGAGGTGGGTGGATTGCCTGAGCTCATGAGTTTGAGACCAGCCTGAGCCAGAGCAAGACCCCCATCTCTAAAAATAGGTGGGTGTTGTGATGGGCACACGTAGTCCCAGCAACTCAGGAGGCTGAGGCAAGAGAATCACTTGAGGCCAGGAGTTTGAGGTTGCTGTGAGATATGATGCCACGGCACTTGACCGAGGGTGACAAAATGAGACTCTGTCTCAAAAAAAAAAAACCAAACCCACTCCCCTCAAAAAACCCTCAGACTTCCTTGAAATATACATGTTAATTTAACTTCAATAGCCATACGACATAGTGTACACATTTACTCCATTTTAAAATCTGGGAAAATAAGACTCACATGTATACATTAAATAACTATTAAGGATTCTTTCTGACAATTTAAGATTGTGGCCATACTTAGAGTTTAGCACCTGGTTACCAGTGGGGGGCTGGTGGTGAAAAGAACATGCTTTGAAAGCATAGATTTTGTTAGCTCACTTTTTACTATGCAAAAGGCCTAGAGGATTATGAAACACAGTCCTCCCCATTGCATATGTAACCAGGGTATTATAGGGAAGGGAACTGTAACAACTGATTAAAAATTATAAATCTGAAAACACCCTAAAGAACAAATTGTAGTGGGTAACAATGAGCATAATTTTGTGTAGAATCATTCAGTGCTACCCAATCAATCTCTTTTTTTTAATAGTTTGAAGAAAACTTATAGATGAAAATGTAGATGTCAATATGACAGGTAACCTTAGTCAGGATTTCAGTATTATCATTAATTGAACAATGACAATGTCCAGAATGCATTCCTAAGAGTTATAAGGTCCCTACTCTCAAGGGGCTTACAATCTACTTTCCAGACAAAACATGCACCAGTCCTCAAGGGCCTAAGTAACTCTCATAGAGACATATAAACAAGTGCAAATTAACATACTTCAGAGTTGAGAAAATACAGAGTCAAAAAGTGATCAAAAATGTCGAGGCTAATGACCCCCTCATAATCAACATGTCAAATTACAGCAGTGTGGCAAAACCAGAAAAATCCCAGATCCTTCTGAAACTGCAAAAGGAATTCAGGAACATAAAATGCTGTCTTCCCAAATTCATATGTAACCAGGGGATTGAAACTATTGAATAGTGCTTAGCCACAGAGGCATTCTTTGACTTAAAGGACTGTTTTGTTTCGATTTTTCATCTATACAAATATTGAGTGATTGTAGAGATTATAAGAATATTTTAAAACTTATAACATATGATCCTTAATACAAGGATACTTGGGCTTGGCACCTGTGGCTCAAGCGGCTAAGGCGCCAGCCACATACACCTAAAGTGGCGGGTTCGAATCCAGCCCGGGCCTGCCAAACAACAATGACGGCTGCAACCACAAAAATAGCCGGGTGTTGTGGC